TTTATATATTTATATATTTATATATATTTACACTCCATAAGCCTCAATAAGCAGAATATATTTTTTAATAGAAAACAAAAAACCCACAGAGACAGCAAAGCAACAAAAATAAACAAAACGAAAACAAAACAAACACGCAGCGTTCTCTCCTGCTGCTGCTGCTGCAGCTGCTACTACTGCTGCTGCTGCTGCAGCTCCTGCTGCTGCTGCAGCAGCTGCTACTGCTGCAGCTGCTGCTGCAGCTGCTGCGGCGGCAGCAGCAGCTGCTGTTACTTCTTCTTCTTCTGCTGCTGCTGCTGCTGCTGCTGTATGGGTACACCAATCATAAGCCCTGATCACAGCAATAGCTGCAGCAGCAGCAGCAGCAACAGCAGCAGCAGCAGCAGCAGCAGCAGCAGCAGTATGACGTGTGTGTGTGTGTATTTATATATCTTCTTCTTCTTGTTGTTGTGTATTTGTTGTATATTTATTTTTACTTAAATTATGTTTTTGTAGCCCCTTTATAATATCTATAAAAACTGAGGGTGCAGGTATAGCATCTATATTATTATTTTTATTTTTATTATTTTTATTATTTTCTTTTTCTTTTTCTTCTTTTTTTATTATTTTCTTTGCATGCGCTTCAGCTGTATTTACTAATGCAGACACAAACGAGTCATCTGCATGCATCAGCATCTTTATAGCTTCGCTTATTAAACCCCCATCAGCAATCTCACCAAAAGATATAGAACCTCTCTCCTTGCTGCTGCTGCTGCTGCTGCTGCTGCTGCTGCTGCTGCTGCTGCTGTTTTTGTTGTTGTTGTTGTTGTTGTTGCTGCTGCTGTTTTTGTTGTTGTTGCTGCTGCTGCTGTTGCTGTTGCTGTTGCTGGTGGTGCTGGGAGAAGGGGTCTTGCTGCTGTTGGTCTTGCTGCTGCTGCTGCTGCTGCTGCTGCTGCTGCTGTTGGTTGCTGCTGTGTCTGAGTGGCTGTCTAGTTGCTGCTGTATTGCATGCATTTGCTGCTGTAAAATATTATAATTATTTTGTTTGTTTTTTTCTTCTTTTTGTTCATTCGAAGCAGCAGCAGCATCTGCTGCTGCAGCAGCAGCATCCGCAGCAGCATCCGCAGCAGCAGCAGCAGCACCCTCCTCAGCTCCCTCACCGCCCCTCTCGTTTGCTGCTGCTGCTGCAGCAGCAGCAGCAGCAGCAAGAGACCGCAGCACCTTCGCTCGGCCCTCAGCAATCCCCATCTGCTGCGCCAACGCAAAAAACGTCTCCGGGATATTTGAAAATGCTGCAGCAACAAAAAAAAAAAAAATAAAAATAAAATAAAATAAAATAAAATGAAATAAAATAAAATAAAATAAAAATAAATAAAATAAATAAAATAAATAAAGTAAATAAAATAATAAATAAATAAATGTAATAAGCAAATGTTGTTTTATTTTTTTTTTATTTTTTTGTTCGTTATAGTTCCTTTTATCAACAGAGAATTGCAGCAATAGCAGCAGCAACAGCAACAGCAACTGCAGCAGCAAGGCTAACAGCAGCAGCAGCAGCGGTAGCAGCAGCAGCAGCTAGCAGCAAATAGCAACAGCAAACAACTATTTACAAATACAGAAAACAACATAGTAACACCTCAACACATGAAAGAGCCTAGTGGACAGCAGCAGCAGCAGCAGCAGCAGCAGCATGCTGCTGCTGCTGCTGCTCCTATTGCTGCTGCTACTGCTGCTACTACTTATACTATTACTACTACTACTACTACTACTACAACTGCTGCTGCTGCTACTGCTGCTTCTGCTGCTGCTGCTGCTACTGCTGCTGCAGTTGCTACTGCTGCTGCTGCTGCTGCTGCTGCTGCTACTGGTGCTGCTGCTGCTGCTGCTGCTGCTGCTCGGCCTACCTTCTGCAGCAGACATCCCAGGTCCATCCAAATTGATAACCTGGCCGTCCGGCCCCATTATGAGAACAGCCTGCACAGCTGCTGACACCACCAGCAGCAGCAGCAGCAGCAGCAGCAGCAGCAGCAGCAGCAGCAGCAGCAGCAGCAGCAGCA